ATAAAGACAGATCAATCTTGTCACCAGTGGTTAAAGTGACATAAATCTTATGAGTCTTTCTCAAAAAAATTGTTTTTGCTCAACAAACATGACACTTACTGTTTTACAAGTAGCAGAACCCCATGAGATGATTGCTAATGAGCTATGAAGTGAATAAAGGAATAGTTATATTTCAAGACAGAGAAAATTCTGGAAAGCATGCATACCAGGCTAGGAACCCAGGGCAACTGGATATGTGACTATAAAGTGTATACCAATTAAAATGTACTTCTTTGTAATTATACAGCCATTATTTTAATTGCCATACAACATTTTTGTCATAGACGCTGTATATAGTGGTTGTGGTAACAAACCCCCACATCATATTGATAAAATAAATGTTTTTAAAATATGTTATGGTTATTTATCATTGCTAATTATCACTATCAGTTTTTACACGTTGGATTACTCTCTGTGGAGGTATTCCACCAACAGTGACTGTTCTCAATAATGACTATTTAGTTTCTTTTATATATACAACATTGTGTTAGCTGCCTCATACATAGATATCTTCCATAATTTTTATAGACTGGCAAAATTCAGAATGAAATTCCACTGTATGGATGAAGAAATTCTGAATTTGTCCACGATCATGTGGCCAAAAGGCAAATATACAAACGTTCCTAGTATCTGTTTGAGAGGAACTACTGAATCAGCAGGTGTAAGCATTGCTTAAAAGCCTATAGCACAATTATCCAGTTTATCACACACTACAATAAGTTCATGAGTTTGGCTGTTAAGAAGGCTAGAAGACTAATGCTGTTGTGTAATTTCATCAGCAGTGAATTCACTATCTGTTCTGGATAGCATCAGTTACATATCACTGAAAGCTCGTACATTAACTTAAAGCCCAGCGGTATTAAGTCCATGATTTCCAGCATGTTTGTCTTAAAAGTCCAATTTCACTATGTCACTACAGATTGTATACACAATGCTGAGTCTACTCACTTCTACAGCCTTCAGGTGTACCAACCAGTCCCTTCCCAATCTAACCCCAGTGTACTTTGCCTGTGTACCTGATCACAGAGACCCAGCCACCAATAGTAGTGGAATGCATGGCGGGTTACATATGTTACTAGAAATTTCAGGACTCCCACTCTTTTGCTTTCCCACATTCCTTTCTTGCTGGCTGAAATGCCAACAACAATCTTTTATTCACATTATTTTATGACTCATAAGCGATTTCAAGGTCCACAAAGAAGGGAAATATATATATTTTTTTAATGGTTCTTTCTTCATATCCAGTGTCTGGCACATAGTAGGTTTCAATAAATATTTGCTCTGGGCTAATTCGAGTTCTTTCTTTATTCTTTAAAATAAAACAACAACAACAACAAAAAAAACCCAACAACACAAAAACCAGCCCATTTTCTGGGAAAACTGCTAAGTCCTGGAAAAGTTGTTCCCTTCTCTCTGCTCCCTGGCACCTCAATACTGTGACTGCCACACTGTTACACAATTAAATTATGTGCTTCCTGGTCTTTCTCTGGGGCTAGACTCTGAGCCCTTGAGTGGCAGAGACCAGATCTTACTCATACTTGGATCCTTAACACGGAGCACAGGCCTGGTTTACAGTAAGCCTTCATAGACTTCTTGGAACTGCGAACACAATTCTAAAGCAAGCATGTGAGGAGAGCAGGGCTTGTGCGTGTTCTGGGGCTCATTTTAAGGAGGAATAGACAGGGATCCAGGCAAAAGAAAACAATGTCCTGACTCTATTCTAGTTTATTACTTTCTTTTCTTTGTTTCTATTCTTCCTTAAATCAGAGGCTAGTGGTAGAAATCAGATTTCTCCCAAGATCTTGATATGCAAAGATCTGGGGGAGAGGAGGGGAGTGTTCACCCAACCCAAGTGACTACCTGGACTGTCAGGCCAGACTCCTCAGCATAGACTGTCCTGGGACCATTCTTGCCTTAGAGGCATTTGTCTTCCTGGCTGGAGCTGGGAGCCATTGGCTCACACTTAAGACTGGCTAGAGCTGGGAGCCAGTGACTCAAAAGGCTGAGATTTGAGGATCACAATTGGAAGCCATCCCAGATAGGAAAGTCTGTACAACTCTTAGTGCCAATTAACTACCAACAAACAAACAAAAACAACCAACAATGACAACAAAAAAACTAAGTATGAAATGGAACTGTGGCTCAAGTGGTAGAGTGCCAGACTTGAGAGACAGGCCTCGAGTTCAAGCCCCATTGTGCGCTCTCCCTCTCTCTCTCTCTCTCTCACATACACACACACACACAGACTAGCCACTATGACTGGCTAGTATGTGGCCATGTCATTGACCTAAAAATCAGATGGGGGTCCCAGATTCTAGCTTCCCAGGGCTGTATGCCAGTGTCCTCTCTCCATCCCTGCCCAGCCTCTGGGAAAGTCTTGGGCACACCAGACAAACTCTTTTCTTCAAATGGAGCATCATTACAAATTGTAACCCAGAAGCTGTGTGTTGTGTTAGGCAATGCCGCAGAAATCAAAGATGTGCTGCACGCATGTAAAAAAGCTCACAGAATCCCACAGATCTGCCCACACTCTTTCCGCAAGGCCTGGGCTTTGTGTTGAAGGTTTCCTCTCACTAAATTGTTCCTCATATACTAGGATGCATTAGGTAAGATCAGGAGGCCAAAGTCTGAAGCCTGGGTCTGGATTTTCCTCTTGGGTGTCTGCACAAGCCCGTGGTCTGGAGACCTTCCCCGGAGCGCTCAGCATGAGCTGCTGGGGTTGCAGAGCGTGTGCAGTGTTTCCCTGGCCCCAGCATTGAGGCGATTCGCATCTTCGTGGACCGGAGGCAGCCAGCAGAGCTGACGGGGGTGTGGGTGCAAAGAAGGAAGGGAAGAATCACTGATTACTTGTGATAGGAGTCAAAGGTGCAGAAATAAGCAGGGAGGTGGTGGCGGGGGTGGGGGTCGGCGGGGGCTGAGCAGGCGGTGGAGACTCAAAGTCAGCAGGAGCGTTCTGTTGAAAAGAGGAGGCGCCCCGGGGAGAGAAGGAAACCGAGTCTGCAAACTCCAGGCTGGCAGGAGTCTGACGCCAGCACCTTCTGGGCAGCAGAGGAGGCGGGATGCTCACAAGATAGCTTGCTTTTCTGGAAGAAGAAGAAGAAGAAGAAGAAGGAAAAGAAAGCATGCTGTGGGTCCAAGAAGGGGGTCTGGCACTGCTCCGGCACCGTGCGGGCACCGAGGCCGGGACCGGGGCAGCCCCCACGCGGCAGCCCCGCAGCTGGGCTTGCGGCAGAGCCCCGGGCCGCGGAAGGATACCGCACTTTGTTTACCTCGCAGGGCCCAGCAAGCGAGCAGGCTAGAGAGCGAGCGAGCGAGGGGCGAGGCCCGCGCCCGCAACCCGGGCCGGCCAGGAGCTACAGCCGCCCGCGCCGCCGGCTGGCGCGGAGAGCCTTACACAGACTGGCAGCGGCGCTGATGATGGATGGGCGGTCTGTCCAATGACGAAGGGTCGAAACCGGTGTTGGGCGGGACTAGTTTCAGACACAGCCAATCGTAAATGCTGTAAGGGGAGAGGGAGGGGGAGTGGGCGGGCAGGCGGGGGCTCCGTAGAAATGTGTCGGTGACATTGAATGGGGAGACCGGGCACGCGCGCGGTGCGCGCGCCCGCGCGAGCACACACACACACACACACACACGCGCGTGCGCGGGCGCGCGCGCGCACACGCACAGCCCCGCTCGCGCCGAGATCCCCGGCCACGTAAGTAACTATTAATACCGCCTGGCCGCCGGGAGATGCGGGCGTGCTGAGCGCTGGGGTTGGCCTCGGGCACCGTCGGCCATCACCCCTCCCACCCCCGCTCCCCTTTAATTTTTAAATACCGAGTCCTAAGTCCTCTCCCACCTCCGGGGTGGCCGGAAAGAACCAGAAGCAATCAGCACAGTCATCAAAGAAAGAAGACGAGGCATCCGTGTTCTCCACCGACTCCGCGGCTCCGCGCGCGCGGGGAGCCCGAGCGCCTGCACGTTACTCCGGGACGCGATCCGGGGCCCGCCACGGGAGCGGAAGCCTCGCGGCCGGCCGGGCCGGGGGAGCGCCCCGGCTCTTGCCGCGGGATTCCCCCTCACCCCCCACCCCCC